CCCTGCAATAGTGATACATGTATTAAACGTTTTTTAGAATCTATACTACATTTTCAATGTAAAGTATGTAACCAATTACAACTCACATCATATGTAGGATACATGACATGATGTACACTTGTACGACCCATGGCAAATGAAGGTTGAGATTGGGATTCAGGTCGAGATTGGGATTCAGGTTGAGAAATATAGGTTGCACGACCATCACCCTAAAGTAAACCAACGTAAAAAAATAAAGTATGAAATGAAAAATAGTAATAATGTATTTTCATTTTACAAAACATACAATATGAAATATTACCTCGGCATAATTAGTATGACACATGGCAAAAGAAAGTTGAGATTGGGATTCGCGACCATGACCCTAAAGTAAACCAACACAAATAAAAGAAGAATGTCCATCAAAAAAAATAATAATGTATTTTAATTTTAAAAAACATACAATATGAAATATTACCTGAACGTAATTACTACGACCCATGCCAGAAGGGGGTCGAGATTGACCTTGTGGAGTGTAAACACCCTAAAGTAAACCAACATAAAGCAAAGAATAAGACAATGCATTTTAAAAAAAAATTCATAATGCATTTTCATGTTAAAAAACAAACAATATGTTATATTACCTTAACATAATTACTACGACCCATGGTAAAAGGAGGTCGAGATTGACCTTGTGGAGTGTAAACACCCTAAAGTAAACCAACATAAAGCAAAGAATAAGACAAAGTTCATAATTCCTTATGAGGTTCAATTTCCCTAACGTCTATGCATGTCAAAGGTAAACACCCTAAATTAAATATTACCTGTATCGAATGATTACCCATGTCGGAAGAAGGTTGAGATTGACCTTGATAAGTAGAAAAAGAACCATCCTACATGCATCACAAAAGACCAAAAATAATCAATATAACGCTACTAGTTGCAAGAATAATCAATCCATCAAATTAATACAAGGTTGCACACAATAGTAAAAATTACCTGACTAGAAATATTACCCATGGCAACAGGAGGCTCATATTGACCTTCAAGAGTACAAAACCTATCACCCTGCAAACAACCAAATTATTTAATAAATTATTTTCCTAACACACATAACACAAAATTGATAACACATAACAGTCAAACATAACTTCAATTAATTACCTGCTTAGATTGCATTCTTTTCTTCTTCGCAATACATTTTTCCATCTCGCCCTTGACCCTCCTTCTTCCCTTAGTAGTTGCTTGTCTTTTCTTCAGTCCCTTGGCTTGGATTGGACAATCTACTTCATCACTCTGTAGGCATGTGTTAGCTGAGGAATTTCTGAATTCAGTGATCTCCACTTGACCAAAAGTGTGCACACTTAATTTGTCTTCAACCATGACACTCAGTTCTTCACCTTTTGCAAGTGACAAATGATAAGTTTCTTCACTTTCGGCGGCTCTACTTGCTATAGCTCTAAACATATTCATCAATGACCTATATCGGTCGCTTTGATGTAGTTTGACATCAGCCTTGGCATCATACCCACGCCTATCTTTCACAGTTTCAGCCCTTGCTTTTTTTGTCCATCGTTTGAGTATGTATTGTGCAGGAAGGTCCTTTGCATTGATTATCTCTCTAAGCACCTTTAAACAATGTTGACACACTATGCCCTTCACTTCAAACTTCTTGCAACTACAACTCAAAAAACCATCTCTATCCATTGTCACTTTCTTATCTTTTTTCCATCTACATCCGTTTGAATTGTGAATATGGTACTCTCACCATCATGCATAGTGCCTACAATGGACGCTTCAATGGACTGCACGTACTCATTTTGGAATTCCTCAAAAATTGTTTTGGTGTAAATATCTGCCATTTGCTTTAACATCACAGTTGGAATGGCAACCCTTGGCAATTTTTGACACAAATTATACTTGGCTTCCAATTCTTTATACCTTTTGTCATAGAGCACCCTCTCAAAATGCTTGAAAAATTCCATCAAGTTATGATCACAATTGAGATAATCCTTCAAAAATGCATTGAATGATTCACTTAGTTGAGTAGTACTCATTCCAACTACCCAAGAATTCATAATATATGGCCATCCCCATTTCTCCTTCACACCAAAAGTTTGCGCCAACCAATGATTGTTGTGTGCATCATACCTATGAAGCATTTGGTCCCATTGTATTTTGAATTCTTCTTCATCATCAATTTGATGCATAAACTTTGAAAAGACACCCTTTACCCCAACATCTTGAAAGAGGGAACTCACATGCTTCACAGCATTTTGCATCAAATGCCATGTACAAAGTCGATGGTTTGTACTAGGCATGACAATTGGAATGGCCTTAGCCATCGCAGCATCTTGATCGGTGAAAATAGTTTTTGGAGCTTTGTTTGACATTGCCTCCAAAAAAATCTGAAACAACCATGTGAATGATTCGGCAGTCTCATCATACATCAACGCTGCACCGAATACAACAGTTTCTCGATGATGATTAAATCCAACAAAGGTTCCAAAAGGTCTATGTTCATTATTTAATTTGTAAGTAGTGTCAAAGGTCACTACATCACCAAATTGAGCATAGTCCATTATCATTTATGCATCCGCCCAAAATATGTTACTTATTTGCTCTTCACAATCTAATTGGACTGCATAATAAAAGGATGGATTTTCTAAACTTTTCTTACGAAAGTATTGCAACACACTACCCGCTTCTCCATATTCCAAATCTTTTTGTCTCTTCGATCTCAAGTAATTTTTTTGGTCCAATTTGGTGAAGCCAAGTGATGCTCTTCCACCAGATTCCCTACCAAATAGCTCATAAGCAGACCTAAGAGGAATTCCAGATTCCGAAGCCAATTCTACTTCAATTGCTTAGGTGGTAGATATTTTTCTTTGGGATGGCAACATATGAATGCACTCTTGAGGCACAAGATCATGATTATGATGTTCAACAAAATCAATGGCAACATATTTTCCTAAATTTCTATCTAACTTGATACTAAATCGAGCACAACAACCACACCTCACCTCTTGTCTCGGAAATTTTACTAGTGGATCTCGCTTGTCAATACCCCGAGTTCCCTCTTTGTAACATACAAAAGTCCGTGAAGTTATTTCCTTAGTATGTTTGTTCTTGTGTGCATATAGCTTCTTAATACTAAAGCCCACCTTTCCGCCATAGGTATTATAAAAATCATATGCAGCTTGTTCAGAGTCAAATGACATGCCCAATTTCAGCTTCCAACCACAATTAGCCAACTCATTAACAACATTATTTTCTTCGATTACATGCAATTCGATTTATAGGTTCAATGAATCAATTTATATTACTTCAATCTATTGGTTCAATGAATCAATGAATGAATTTATATTACTTCGATTTATAGGGTCAATGAATCAATTAGCCAACATCAAATGTGAACTTATTTTGTTATGGGGAGTGGTTTATTAAAGTAGTTTTATTTTATAATTTTGTAAATCTCTTTGAAATGATGGACCAGATCATAGTTATAAATGATATTGAAAAATCAATCATAGTTACTAATCACTCTTCTTTATAATTACTAATTTCTGAATTCACAAAATCCTTAATTATATATAAAAATTAATATAGAGAAATGTATAGAGAAAAATTAATTATTTTATAATTTTGTAAATCTCTTTGAAATGATGGACCAGATCATAGTTATAAATGATATTGAAAAATCAATCATAGTTACTAATCACTCTTCTTTATAATTACTAATTTCTGAATTCACAAAATCCTTAATTATATATAAAAATTAATATAGAGAAATGTATAGAGAAAAATTAATTATTTTATAATTTTGTAAATCTCTTTGAAATGATGGACCAGATCATAGTTATAAATGATATTGAAAAATCAATCATAGTTACTAATCACTCTTCTTTATAATTACTAATTTCTGAATTCACAAAATCCTTAATTATATATAAAAATTAATATAGAGAAATGTATAGAGAAAAATTAATTATTTTATAATTTTGTAAATCTCTTTGAAATGATGGACCAGATCATAGTTATAAATGATATTGAAAAATCAATCATAGTTACTAATCACTCTTCTTTATAATTACTAATTTCTGAATTCACAAAATCCTTAATTATATATAAAAATTAATATAGAGAAATGTATAGAGAAAAATTAATTATTTTATAATTTTGTAAATCTCTTTGAAATGATGGACCAGATCATAGTTATAAATGATATTGAAAAATCAATCATAGTTACTAATCACTCTTCTTTATAATTACTAATTTCTGAATTCACAAAATCCTTAATTATATATAAAAATTAATATAGAGAAATGTATAGAGAAAAATTAATTATTTTATAATTTTGTAAATCTCTTTGAAATGATGGACCAGATCATAGTTATAAATGATATTGAAAAATCAATCATAGTTACTAATCACTCTTCTTTATAATTACTAATTTCTGAATTCACAAAATCCTTAATTATATATAAAAATTAACATAGAGAAATGTATAGAGAAAAATTAATTATTTTATAATTTTGTAAATCTCTTTGAAATGATGGACCAGATCATAGTTATAAATGATATCTTTTATATATAACTATCATAGTTATAAATGACATTGAAAAATCAATCATACTTACTAATCACTCTTCTTTATAATTACTAATTTCTGAATTCACAAAATCCTTAATTATATATAAATCCTTAATTAT